CCTTCCATAAAGCAAGGTATGCAATTATCATCTAATGAAGTAATTAGAATTTAATAAAAAAAACGAAGTGGAACATTATCTTAACAAATACCCTCACCTTGTTTAATATAAAGTATAGATCAAGACTATTAATTGCTGCTCAATACCATGGAAACAAATGCAAGCCCAACCTAGCATCAACAACTTCGTATATAATTGTACACACTAAGCAATTTAATACTATTGTACTCTCAAAAATAATTGAAATATTTGTCAAAGATTAATAATAATAATAATATTTTTAACTAAAGACATTGAGCACAAAAGCTACAAAGGCTAAAAAATATGTAAGCTATCAGCTTCTTATCTTTTTAAGTTAATACAGTATAATATTTAAAAGTGAATTTAGGTATTTTCTTAAAAGTAATCAGGCCTAATACTGATATTCCATTTTGCCCTCTTTTCAGAAATTAGTGTCTTAACAGTTAATGTATAGGCCTACTATCAGTTCGACACTACAGCATCAGGGTAAGCATAAGGCTAACGTAGTTTAAAATTTCACAATCTAGGTGAATTGGTCCAAGCTGACTCTTGTATCTTCAATATAATTCAAAATTTGTTTATAACATTTGTACGAAATTAAGAAGTATATTAATTGGGCCTTTAACAAAAAACAACAACAAAAGTCTGAAAGTTTAGCTTTTAATCACCTTTCCTCTGTAGTGCACAATATTTCACATTCCTGAAAAGTGATGAACAAAACACCTTATCAGTTTTTAACAAACTAAAGTATAATCTTTGAGATAACTAATACAGATGTAGTTAAAACCTCTGATCAAAGAAAAGGAAATCACTATAATAAAATAACAGTTGGTATGTTTAAACTTTAAATACAACTCACCTTTTCTACAAGGTCCACAAACAAGTCTTTCATTTCTTTACTATGATTTAATCCATATGCAATATTGACTATGGTTCTTGACAGGTTCTAGAAAAAACACATACTCATTTACTGACTATAACAATGATAATAGTTCAGGCTGCAGTACATAAACATGTTATGTGCTAACTATCTTGGCATATGTTTTATTCCTATGATCATAGTATTTGAAACAAAATGTACACAATACTGATTTTATAAAACTGTGAAGGTATTCATTTAGAAAACTTTGTCATGCTTGGAAGTGAGAAAGCTTAATAAGTAACAATTATTAGGAGATTTGTCACAATTACTATTAACTTACTTTAAAATTGCAGTCAAGGTCATTGCAAGTCTTATCAGAAACTTTTCCACTGACAAAAGACATAATTAGTGACTTCTGTTCATCTAATGCATCTTTCTCTACCAGAATTTTCAGGTCCCGAAGATCTTGTAAAAACTCCCGATCCATGTCCATCGCTGTTTCTTCATACCTACAGTCTATGGCATTATAAAAGTTTCAAGTTATACCCTCAATATTCAATACATTTGAAACAAATGCAGTCACAGCCTAAATTTTAAGTAAAAGATATTCTTAAAAACTATAAACTTTCTTTTGGTTACAAATCACACAACAATAGAGTTAAAATGATTGCAAACAAACAAAAACTGTGTGGGTCCTGGTAAAAATGCAAATAAAGAAACAGTGCATGCAAAAAGCAAAGTTAAAGACTGCCCATTAACTGGCACATGGGCAGACTGAAAATGCATTGATATTTGGACACTTTCAAATGAAAATTTACTAATTAACAATGTGACCATGTTCAATACTAGAATACCAAAAGGATGCCTATGTGGGCACAGAGTCAACAGTACGTATCTTTCAGGTGAAAATTGCCATTCAGTGTGATTTTTTTTCTCCTGAGTGAGATTTAGTGTTCATAACTACTTGACGATAAGCTGAACTCAGCATATCACAATAATACATATCTGCAACATGGTAAAATATAATAATAACATAGTTTTGCAATTTAGGACATTTATACAACTCACTGCCATATGGAAAAAGGCAAACTGACAAAATGTAGTTGTTTTTTATGGTTACTAAACTAGCATCAATAAGCAACTTTTTTTTCATGGTTCACACAGGCTAATGTAAAACAAATTCCAGGACCAAACTGTCATTTTCAAGGACCTAATTTACTGATTTTAACATAAAATTAACAGCATCAAAGCTAAATAACTAATGTTTTATTATAACTTATATTTTATTTAAAAAAAGAAGTAACAGCTGTACATAACATTCTGGGAAATTAGTGGAATTTGCTCATCAGGTTCATTAATTTATTATATTCAATTAATTGATTACCTTCACATAAGACTTGAATAACTGAAAT